CACCATTATCCACATTACAGTGAGACAGGCACAAGATAGACACCCCCACTCCAAAATGGAGCCAGGTGGCTGGAGAGCTGGCTCTGGGGTTTAGAGTGCTTGCTTCATCCACACCTGGTGACTCATTACCTGTCACTGCCAACTCCAGGAGATCACAAGCCATCTTCTGGATTTCATAGGCACTGTACTCATACACACAAGCCCCTGCACACATACACATAAGTTAAAATAATAATAAAAATGTTAAAGATATATTGCACACATGTATGATGTTTTCAAAGATTTTTTTCACAAACTTACAGTCTGAAAGAAAGTTCAAGAGGCAATATTTCAGATCTCCAGAATTAACTCTCCACTCATGTACCACCTCCAGGACCAGACCTCCCAGAGTTAAGACTCTAGAGTCCTTCTCCAGGACCAGACCCTCAGAGTTAAGACTCTAGAGTCATTATCCTACCTCCAGGACCAGACCTCCCAGAGTTAAGACTCTAGAGTCATTATCCTACCTCCAGGACCAGACCCTCAGAGTTAAGACTCTGCTACAGTCATGTACTACATCCAGGACACTTGTCCAATTTGTCACATGTCCTATTTCGGCTGGACAGGCTGTGATGATTTGTCTTAGCTTGTGATCATTCTGTGAAGTCAGTGATGGCCACTGTCAGACTTCTGTGCTATTCTTATCACTCTTTCCATTTGTGTTTCCACATTGTGATGTTAAAAATACATTTATTCTTTGTTTGGGGTTGAGGACACCTGGGATTTCCCCCCTTTCATTTCAGCACATCTATTGACATCATCCTTGTTCAGGTCTTGACTAGACAGAACTACAGGCAACTAAGGAATACTGAGGTGAGAGAGACAATCTTTCCCAGGGAAGATCCCAAATTGTTTAACCAAACTGGTCATTACTGAAAAGACATACTCATAAATAACTTTTTATGGGCAGAACAGATTGTACACACACACACACACACACACACACACACACACACACACACACACAATAACCTAGGAATTAGATTCTAAGACTTTGAGACTCAACAAGGTGTGGGTACATGGGAAGGGTTGAATGGGAAAACAGAAGATAAAAATATCTTTAGAAATACATGTATTTGGACTGGAGAGGTGGCTCAGAAACTAAGAACTCTCGTTGCTCTTACAGAGGACCTGAATTCTGTCCCTGCACCCACTTCAAGCACCTGACAACAACTTGTAACTCTAGCTGCAGGAGATCCAACACCCTTTTCTGGTACTTGCATACATATGCAAACACACATGCACACTCACACGCACACACAAAATAGTTTTATTTTAATTAAAAAATACATGTATTCGGTCTTTTGGGGGTTTCTTAGTGTTGGTAATGTCTTTTATTATTCATCATATTTATCATGAGCTCTTTCATCCTATTTGCATTTATGGTAATGAAGTAAGTTATTCAGATATTTTTTGTCACTGTGAACAATATCCGAGAGAACAACTTAAAAGGAGGCAATATTTATTTTGCCTCATTGTTTCAGATGGATCAGTACAAGGACACTTGGATCTGTGTCGCCGGTCCAATGGTGATTCATGATATCATGGGGTCTAAACTAAGTACAGGGAAATACTTTAATAATGGGCAGAAATCAGACAGCAAGGAAGGAACTGAGTGGGAATCAGTTAGAACCTTCAAAGGCACTTGACCAGTTGCTTTTATTTTCTAATTTTGCTCCACATCTTACTTTATAGACCCTTCAAAAATACTGCCACTGTCTGGAGACCAACTATGCAATACATGAGTGTATCAAGTCTTTTTTTGTACCACCAGCTTCTAAATAATGAGATGGAGACTTTTTATTAATTATGAAAACCTTATCCTTAGGCTTGTTTCTAACTAGCTTTTATAACTTAGATCAACCCATTTCTATTAATTCACATGCTGTCACATGAGTCATGGCTTTTACCTCTCCTCCTGTGTGTCCTGCATCCTCTCTGTCTTCTCTGGTGTCTCCCTCTGCCACATAGTATATCTCCTGTTCTTTTCTCTCTGCCAAGAAATCCCATCTAGCCTCTTCTTGCCTAGCTATTGGCCATCCAGCTCTTTATCAAACCCATCAGAAGGCACCTTGGCAAAGACACATCTTCACAGTGTATAAAAAGATTATTCCACAATGTAAGATACTGTAGGAGAGGGGAGTTGCATAGTAAAATCACAGCATCCCATCTCAGCTCCCCCAAATGTTTTATGGTCATTTTGTAATGCAAAATATATTTAATGTCTACCAAGAGTTCACACTCTCCAAAGGTCAAAATTCAAAGTCTCTTTAGACTCAAGGAAATCTTTTAGCCCGTGTAAAACAAAATTTAAAAGTTTGCACACTCCAAAGATAAAATGTCATGGAATTGACATTCTTACCCCAAATAGAGGAATCTTTTAATGAGATTGCTTAGTGGGTAAAGGCATTCATTGTTAAACCTGATGACCTGCATTTGATCCCTGGGACTTAGATGATTGAAGGAGATACTGACTTGGTAAGTTGTTCTCTGATCTATATACAAATGCTGTGATGCACATACCCACACGCAAATAAATAAATTTAATAAAAGCTTTAAATTTATTACTGGTATTATATCATAGGTTGCATGTGTCCTTCCCACCCTACCCCTATTCCCCCATTTTCTCCCTTTGTTCCCTAGACAACTTCATTTCTACTTTGATTTAACATATGCAAACATGACTTATGTGACTATCTAGGAACCACAGATAGAATAACATACATGGCATTTGCCTTTCTGAGACTGGCTAGATTCATTTAATGTGATTATCTCCAGTTGTATCCATTTTCTTTCAAATTATGTTGACTTTATTCTTTATTGTGACTGAGAAAAATTCTATTCTGTTGTTTTTGTTAGTTGCTTTATTTTTTTCATTGACACAAGCTAGGGTAATTTGGGTAGAGAGAATGTTAACTGAGAAAATGCTTCCATAGGGTAGGCCTGTATGCAAGTCTTATTGGTGGTTGATGTGGGAGGGCCCATGCCACAATGGGTGGTGCTATACTTGGGCAGGCAGTCTTTGGATGGATAGGAAAGCAGGGTGAGCAAGCCATGGGGAGCAATCCAGTAAAGAACATTCTTCCCATGGCCTTTGTATCAATTCCCATCTTGAGTTCTTGCCCTTACTTCCTTTGAAGCTGCAAGATTAAATAAACCCCGACCTCCCCAAGTTACCTTTGGTCATGGTGTTTATTACAGCAATAGAAACCCTTCTTTATTCTTCCTTTGTTGACCACCAGTGTGGATTCCACTATTATGAACAGTGCAGGAAATAGACTTGTGTAAGTACTCTGTGATGGCAACATGCCCTTCCTTGAAGAGATGTGGGAGACACATCTGCCATGCTACTACCAATGGAAGAGAAAGTCCATCCCCAAACCATCGATGGATTAGTGGATTAGATTAATTCCCTGATGTTATCAGGCTGCATTCAAAGCTGAAGTGATTGGGAACAATCACTAGCAAGTTTTGCAGGGGAGATAGATGGAAGATGAAAGGATGGAAGGAAAAGATGCAGGGATGAGATAGTGTAGAGCCTCTGGTACTGTGGAGCTAAACATGGCGATGCAGACCCCCCCCCAACCTCAGCAAAGATAAACACACAGCCCCTGAGGATATCTCATGATTAGTCATTGTATTAAATTGCAAACAAAGGCCAGAACAACAGCCACTAAGCCAAGTGGGATCTGGAGATAGGGAGGGAAGGCAGCAGTGGACCAGCCTCTAAGGAGATGAGGGACCTGACAGAAGACAATAGCAGAGCTATTGCTAACAAGGAGGAGAAGGAGTCAGGAATCAGCCTAAGTGTAGACAAAGCCTGGTCACCTATGGGGGGCGGTGTTAGAGCTTTGAGGGCTAATGGGGGGACCTGAGTATCAGTTGTTGGGACAGGATGCTGAGGACTTCTTGCAGACCCAGAATTTCTCCATTTTGCAGTTGTCTTTATTCCAGCCATGATCGGTCAATTCCACACAGTCCTCTGAATGGTCGCCATTTTTCCATAAGGTCCAGTAATTTTTAAAGCTGCAAAGCCCATGCATACTGTGAACCTGTGTCCCTCCCCTCATCTATAAAAAGTTTCAAGTTCCTGGAAACTAGATATCTTCATATTTTCCCTGAGCTCCTATGGCAGACATATTTTGTTTTAGCCTGGTAACTTGCCTAGTGTCTTGTCCTTGACCCCAGAGCCTTCTTCCTAGAGAGAAATCCAGCTGAAGGTGTGATATTTAGACTCTAGTTAGTTGAGACTTCACCTCCCAACTAGATTATCAGGCTTTTACAGCCTGGCTGCTGTGCATCCACTCTAACCATACCAGGAAGGCAGTAGGTAGCTAGCAATAGAACCTGCTGAAATGATTACACTGGCTAACCCCAAATCTTTTTTTACTGTATCAATCTAATACTTCCAGCACAAATAATGATAAAGTCTCTTGGCTACATCTCCCCTCCTTCTATTCATGTCATGGCTGAGCCTGGCACATGGTCACTCAGAGTGGTGTGTACCCTTTCCTGGGAAACTGGGCATCTAATCTTTTCAATAGCAAACATCTCTAAAGCTATTTTGGTTTAACCATATAGCAGATTCTTGTCTGAGAGAGAGAGGGCATTATTTGAATCCCCTGTAGTTGGAGTGACAGGTGGCAGTGAACTGTCTGACATGGCTACTGTGAACATAACTCGAGTTCTTTGCAAAAACTATGCATGCTCTTAATTACTGAATCATCTCCCCAACACTTTAGATTCTTTATAACTATTTACTATATCTCAGTTTCTCAGACTCCAAGCTCCTCCTACATCTCTACCACTGGAATTTCAAAGCATTTACTATCTTACCTGAACTTGGGCATGGATCCCCCCCCCCTTCCACTCAGTAAGTGACATTTTTTTTTAATGGCTAGGTGATAAAAACCCCAGGCAAGGGTATTTCATATTAGCATTTCAGACACCAGCCCATCCCCCCTCATTTTGCCCTTGTTTTTTGATCTACCTGGGAGACAAAGAGGAACCATTAACCCACTGCCATGAACCTTTATGTTTCATGTCTGACAGCCCAATCCAGAGACAGCCTTTAATCTTATACATCTTCTGTAGGAACTCCTGAAAGAGGAGAAGAGTAGTTGAGATACAGCTGAGTATTTGATTTTCCACCCAGTGTCCCTATAAAGTCTAGATGGGAAGTCCTGTTTGCAATCAGACCCTCTAGGGCACTACACCATGTTCTCCAACATGTGATCAGGAGATCTGAATACTTCCATCTCAGTGCTCTATAAGCAAATCTCTTGCACAGAGAAGTGCACAGATGGCCTCTTGTCACATTTATTTTTACTGCATGTTTCCCCGGCTTGTGAGTTCTGGGCATTTACTCATGACTGACTGAATGTGTGAACTGTGTTCTAGCAATTGGTTAATGGCACAAAGCAGACTTTTCCCTTTAGAAAGCAAGTTATTAAGCACTAACCAACCCATCACTAGACATTATATTTTCAACTCTTGCCCCAAATCTTACACACATGGTCAAGACTTGTTTGGTGTGTGTGTTTGTGTGTGTGTGTGTGTGTGTGTGTGTGTGAGTGTGTGTGTGTGTGTGTGGTATTTGTGGTGTCCCAATTCATAACCCTCTTCTCTTCCATTTCCCCTTGAAAGTCTATATGGCCATCTACCTTCAACTGTTTATCATTTAATAAAATGCAGCCCCCCATCTGTATTATATACCCTCCCTCCAAGGCTCAGGAATTATCAAGGAAAAGAGGAAAAGATTGTAAAAGCCAGAGGTAGTGGACATCTGAGGTGAAATAGACAGGGCAATTGCACACTTAAACTCACAGTGGCTGCACAAGATCAAGCCAGCCAAACTTTCAGCCTAGACAGGAGAGAGGCTCATAGAGTCCCACCCTTAGCTAAAGGATATTGGCAACTGATGGCTTTTAAGGAGAGAAAGCCAGTGTTTTCAGACATGTAGCTCCTGAGAGGCTGCAGTCTTATACCCATGCACATGTAGCCTATACTAAAGGGACTCCATGAGTTTAGAAAAGGGAAGTCCATGGAATTGGAAGGAAAAGTTATTGGGACAATAAGAAAAGAATTGGAACAGGGATAATAGGAGTAGGTTTAGTCAAGAAACATGATATGATGAATGAAGTCTGTAACAACAAAAAGATGTATGTCCCACTCCAGAATCAGGCATACCTGTTCCTCGTAACTTTCAATGATGACTAGTTGGGCCCCTACTTCTTGGCAAGCAATGAGGGAATCAGTCCAGTTACGTTTAGTTATGGAGAAGAAGTAGCAGTTTCCATGGAAGACGATCCAGTCCCAAGAGCAGGGACGGCATAGGCTGTCTGTTGGGGAAGGCTAGTTAGAATACACACACACTTTATTGTTTGTATTCCCATATCTGCTTAGCCTTCCAGCCCTCCGGAGTCAGGAACTCCCAAGCATCACAGTGGAGAGACTTTGTCTTCTCCACTTCCCAGGTTCTTCCTCATCCTAAAAGAACCCAGAAGTCCTGGCCCCATCTCATTCACACTAGGAGAAGTAGGAGCTAAGATCTCAGAACAGACTCCAGGAAACGGGCATAATTGGATCCTTATTATATATACTTTCTTGTGTACACTAAAAACACTGTTATCCTGTGTTCCCAATTGACAAGGAATAACATTAAGACTTAAAAAGGTCAAACTCAGCCAAAGTGTTCAACATGAACACCCATTAAGACCCTTGGACAGCCAGCTTCTGATCACACACCGACTCTAGGCTTCAGCTGCATGAGCTTCTGGTAGATCTCCTCCTGATCCTGGGTGCAGGGAACCTTTGGAGCTGTGCCAAGAAAAAGAAAAAAGAAAAAAGAAAGAAAGGAAACTACAACCATAAAACACCTACAGTGTACCATGGTCTATACTGCTTATGTAGGACCAGTGTTTAAGAGCCATCTGTTGTTATGTAACACCTGAGGATGAGTAATGCTGGGCTGGAGAGATGGCTTAGTTGATAACATGCTTGCCCTGTAAGCACAAGGACCCGAATTCAATCTCTCAAAACCCATGTTCTTTTTTAAAAATTTATTTTGGTTAATTAATGTTTTATTTGTTTATTTTTGATACTGACCACAGTTTCCCCTCTCTCCTCTCTTCCCATTCCCTCCTCCCTGACTCCCATCTACCCCCTCCCTATCCACTCCTCCTCTATCTCCATTCAGAGAGGGGCAGGTCTCCCATGGATCTGAACAAAGCATGGCTCATCAAATCTCAGCTCCCTCTCCTTGCATTAAGCCTGGGCAAGGTAATCTAACATGGGGAACAGGTTCTCAAAATCCAGCTAAGTGCCATGGACAAGTACTGATCTCATTACTAGGAACCTTACAGACCAAGCTACACAACTGTCACATACATGGAGAGGGCCTAGGTCAGTCCTATGCAGGCTCCCCAATTGTTCAGAACATGCATTCTAAAGTTCAGGCATGTCTGCTGGTATACAGTGGTAATAAACAGTTCTGAAGATTCAAGAATAGGTGGATCCCTTGGGTTCACTGACCAACCAGACTAGCTTATTTGATGACCTTAGAACAAATAAGAGGCCATTTCTCAAGATGGGAAGAATCTGAAGAATGACCACGGAGGCTGTTCCTCAGCAACTACATACATGCACACACCTGTATGTTCATCCAGGAGGTGCATGTGCATACACACATACACACACACACACACATACACCCACACACATCACAGAGAGAGGGAGAGTGTCTTGCCACTCAGAAAAGACTGAATTACAAGGGCAAGTGGAGTGAAGACCCTCTCTTGTTTCTCCTCCATTTTCCCTGCTGTGTAGGTTGGAGGAGTCCTGAGACATGCTTAGAAGTCACAGAAGGACCAGGTTCTTGCCTCCCTCCTAGATCTGGTTGCTCCTGCAAAGAGATCAGCATTAAGATCCCAAGTACTCAAAGCCATCTGACCTTGGAGAAGGAATGCCACAAGGACCCCGGAGCAGAGGATGAGGAAAAGCAGCTGTAGCACTAGGGGGACCAGGCCATGTCTTGCACATCCTGTGAAAGAGAAGAATGTGGTTCAGCACACACATGCCCTGCACCAGCTCCGCCCAGGGACACACAGGCCACCAGCATACTCCTGCTCAGACTTTAGGACTCAAGCTTCTAGGTTCCCACAGCCATGAGTCTAGGTTTCAAACTCCCAGGACCCATGAGCACAGAATTTCATCTTCCATTTCATAGGAAAAAATACCCAGGAAGCATCCAGGCCTCCTGAGCTCCTCTCTGTGCAGTGACTGCAGAACTATTTGATCCAGAAATTATTGGAACCTATAGCATGGCACTGGGTTCATGCTCTCATCATCATCTTCTCATCTGCTTACATCACTGGAGAAAAATTAAGAGCCTGGTCAGGTTGCTTTTGGTTGCTTGCTAGGAACTGATGGTAAGAACAATGGCTGAAGAGACCACACAGGACATGGAAAAATCAAATTGACACTGGTCTGAAAATCTCTTCCTGCTGACTAGCTTATATAATCCTGGAAGGTGCTGTGCAGACTTCTGGGGTAGACTTCAGGGTCCAGTGGATGGCCTCAAACCATGTGCATATAGGCAACACTAATTGGTCCCTGTGGGTGTTTTTAAAAAAGGACATGAAAGTGGAAGGGGGCAGTGGGGGGTCCAGAAGAAGTGGAGGGGGATAGAGGGATAAATATGATCAAAATTCTATACATGTATGAAATTATCCAAGAATTAATGAAAATATGTTTTTAAAAAGAGCCTTGGCATGATAAAACAGAGACATTTGCCTCTTGAGCTTTGAAAGGTCCGGTGAAGCTTCACCTAGGGACCTAGCTGTTTCAACCTTACTTCCTTGGAGCTCCTCATTGTGATATCATGATCCTAATTCCTGTTAGAGCAATGTGTTTATTTGCCTTGCTGTATCCCTCACTTCCTGAATGCACTCCCACTCAGAAAGGGTAATGGGGATGTGGCATAGCCGGGGTGGGCAAGTATAGGGCTAGTTTACCGATCCTGGACCCTGGATGGTTTGAGCTACACACACCCGTTTTCATACAAAGCAGAACTTTTCTCTGTCTTAGCAGCTGCCCACTTGTGGTTAGCTAGTGGTCAAGCATGTTCTAGAATACATATTGGAACTAGAAGGAAGTAAGACAGTTCAGCCTGATTCAATTTTAGATGCATGTCCATTAAGGCAACCTCTGCTCTCTGAGCACACTTTTAGAAGAAAATTCTATTTTTCACTTTATTCCTAGGCATGAGAGGGCATAGATAATATCATCTATGAATCTAGAATCATGGCATGTATGACCCAAGCCTGTGCAGAAGATCCATTTCAATCTGTCAATTGGGAGTTTCACAGATGAGAAACAAATCCAAACTCTGTTCCCATGTTGTAGAACACAGTCTGCTGGGCAAAAAAGCAACTATGCTAGTAGTCACAGCACTCAGGAGGCAGAGACAGGTAGAGCTCTGTGACTTCAAGACCAACCTGGTCTGAATATTTAGTTCCAGGATAACCAGGACAACATAGAGAGACCCTGTTAAAAACAAAACAAAACAAAACACATCCACAAAAAAAAAAAAACCCAAAAAACAAAACTGTCACCATCTTCATCAAATCAGTTGTACCTATTATAAGATTCTATCAAGATGGGGGTTGTTGACCATTGGCATTCTCTCGTGGGAGATAAGATATGTCTCATCCAAGATTCCAGCAGCTAACTCCTCCTAGCCAGCCATGAAATTATAACCCAATTTCACACTGCCTTGGGGGCTCTCAGGACTTTCTTGAGTGTGTAGGTTGAGTGGGGTTAATTGTAAAGGTTTCCACCTGTGATGTTATGGAAAAGCTGTCAACCAAGCTATATGAAGACTTTCAGTGCATCTGGCTGCTGTCACCCATGTTACCCATGCTCTGTAAGTAAATCCAACAAGATCATTGGATTCCAAGGGGGAAATTGCAGTGGAACAGTTCTTTGAGTTTTGGTTGTGACCTTATGAGGAGGGTGTTTTTGTCTCCCAGGAGAGGGATTCTCACAACACCTTGGGGTCTATCTCCTTCTCATCCAGGACACATAAATGGAAACCCAGAGATGTAACCCTGGGCTTTTGAGTAATCTCCCTGAAGCTCACCGATGCTTTGCATTGTAATTTCCTTGTACTTCTCCTTCTGAATGTTTTCTTTTACTAATTTTTGCACACTATTCTCCAATACTTTGAACAAGATGTCTAGAACCTAGGTTAGATCTAGTCTAAGTCCAGTGATGGTGGCATACACCTTTATCCCAACACTCAACAGGCAAAGGCAGAGGCAGGTGGGTCTCTGTGAGTTCAAGGCTGGCCTAGACTACAGAGTGAGTTCCAGGACAGCCAGGGCCATACAAAGAAACATTGTCTTGAAAAACAGAGCAAAAACAAAGCAGAAAAGAAAAATACAGATACAGGTAATATACTGGACCAATGTTATAAAAGAGACTGCCCTCATCTAATACCTGTTGGAAACAGAAGCAAACACCCATACCTAAACACTGAGTCGAACTAGAATCCAGATGCAGAGGGAGAGGACAAGACCATGCGGCAGAAACACATACAGACAGCTGATCTAAACAAGGAGGAACTAACAGGCCCCCAGACTGATACTGGGAATCCAGCATGGGATTGACTCAGGCCCCCCTGAATATGGGTCTCAGCCAGAAGGACTGAACAGTCTAAGGGACCTCAGACAGTGGAACCAGGATGTATTCCTGGTGCACAAAAGGACCTTGGGGACACATCCCCCATGGAGGGATACTGCCTTAACCTAGAGACAGGAGAGAAACCCTAGTCCCTACTTCAAATGACCTGACAGATCTACATGACCCCAACTGGATGGCATTCCCCTACATGTGGAATTGGGGTTGGGGGATGGGAGGGGAGGGTGGTCAGGGTGCATGTGAGAGGGCAGAGAGGGTAAAAGGGAGGGAGGGAGGGAGGGAGAGATGGAAGAAGGGAGGGAAAAGGAACTGGGATCGACATGTAAAATAATAAATTAAATAAAAAAATTAAATTAAAAAAATTTGAACCCCCCAAAAGATTTGATTTTTGTGTGTTCAAAATTATACTTGCAATTTACTATTTTTGTACTTGTTCAAGTAATAAATATAAATTCCTAAAATAAAGCAGTTACATTAAATAATGTGTACGATGGTGGACATATTAAAAAAAGAGATCTAGGTAACCATTTTGTTTCCCCCCCAAAAAAACCCAAAAAATTAAATGTGTGTAAGCACAATAACTACTAAAAGATTCCAAATAATCCAAGATTTCAGAAATAAGCTTTAGAAAGCTACGTAGTAGATGTTTGGGGATTTCTAGTGAAATATTTTGAAATATTTACATATAAATTTTGATTTATATTTAAATGAAAAAATTGACATATATGGACACTGGGTTTTATTCAACAATGCAGAGGAATGAATGTATGTCATTTTCAGGAAAATGTATGAAATTATTATATTAAGCAAAATAACCCAGATTGAGAGAAACAAGTATTACAGGTTTTCTCTCATATTATCTATCCATCTGTGTGCTATCTATCTATCTGTCTGTCTGTCTGTCTGTCTGTCTATATAATCTATCACCTGCCTGTATATTAGCTATCTACCTGAAAATCTGATAGTAGGAGGGAAATTATATATAAAATGGAGGAAGGGAATTGAGTGTGATGCCTTTAGTCCCATCATTCAGGAGGCAGAAGCAGGGAGATCTCTGAGTTCAAAGATAGCCTGGTCTACAAAGCAAGTTCCAAGACAGTCAGTAATACACATAAAAATCCTGTCACAAAAAAAATGTTGGAGGAAGAGGATGACAAAAAAGGATGATAGATACAAGGATGATTCCAACTAACAATCTGAGCAATAGTGAAAAAGCTACCTTAAATGCCCTTCCCTGATAATGAGATTGATAACTAACTTATATGCCATCATAGAGCTCTCATCTAGTAGTTGATGGAAACAGACGCAGATACCCACAACTAAATACTGAGCTGAACTCCTGGCATCCAGTTGCAGAGAGGGAGGAGTGATAAGAAAAGGTGTCAAGACCAGACTACAGAAACTCACAGAGGCAGTTGACCTGAACAAGGGGGAGAACCCCCAGACTGATAGTTGGAAAACCAGCATTGTACCCCTGAACCCCTGAACATGGATCTCAGTTAGAAGGCCTGGGCAGTCTAAGGGACCTCTGACAGTGGAACCAAGATGTATCCCTGGTGCACAAAAGGACTTTGGGGGCACATTCCCCATGGAGGGATACTCCCTTAGCATAGAGATAGAAGGGAGTAGTCCCTATTCCAAATGACTTGATTGATTTTGATGATCCCTCCTGGAAGGCATCACCCTCCCTGTGGAAGGGGGGAATGGGCTGGGAGGGAGAGAGGGAGAGGGAACTGGGATTGATATGAAAAATAAGAAAAATTATATATATATGTATATATATATATATATATATATATGAAAGGATGATAGAAACAACAACAAAAAACACAAGAAAGGAAAATATCACATGATATGCTCTTCTTCATGGAACACATATATGTATATACTATAAAACAGAAATGAAAGTGTTGTGGGGTATACATTCTTTAGTATGTAGTGAAACAGAGAGAGTGACAAGGTGGCAAATATTAGAAAAATCCAATACTATACATGCAGAAAAAGTCATAAAGAAATTCACTATATTTTACATTTTCTAAAACAATTTATAAAAACTGAAAAGAACTTCAGAGTTAAGATCCTCCCTTGCCAGGGAACCCATAGAAAACTGCAGTACCACCAGACACTCCCCGCCTCAAGGAGAATTCAGGAATCTTTGTCCCATCTATTCCAAAATGAGGACTGTAAAGACTTTATAACTCTGAAGAAATCCAGATTGTCTCTATGTATGGATACCTGTAAACATGTGTCATTGACAATGTTACCCCATGTCTCTATCTCACAATTGAAACAAGTAAAGCACATTGGAGGCCAGGGACACATGTGAGCACACCACAGAGGTGTCTGCACTGGAGGCCAGGGACATCAACAGGCACTTGGGGAGTTGGTTTTCAGTCACTTACTGATTTCAGCTTTCACCTCTGTTATTTCACTATAGATTGGCTGCTGGGAACAGGACATATCTGTGGCAAGAAATTAAGAAGTTAATGTTTATCTCTGGAGAACTGGTAGTGAAAACACGATGCATACATAGTGAAATTCAACAGCAATGCAAATTACAGAAAGCCTACAAACTCAGGGAAATTGAATGATACTCAATTGAATCACCCCTGAGTGAAGGTTGATTCATTTCTTTATCTACTCCTCTGGGTCAAGGAAGAAATAAAGAAAGAAATTAGAGTCTTTGTAGAATTCAATGAAAATGAATGCACAGCAAACCCACATTTATAGGACACTTTGAAAGCAGTGCTTAGAGGAAAGTCATATCACTAAGTGCCTGCAGGAAGAAACCGGAGAACTCCCACACTAGTAGCTTAACAGCTTACCTGAAATCTCTAGAACAAAAAGAAGCAAACTCACCCAGGAGGAGTAGAGCCCAGGAAATAATCAAATTGAGGGCTGAAATTGATAAAAATAGAAACAAAGAGAACAATACAAAGAATTAATGAAAGTAGTTGGTTTTTCAAAAAAAAAAAAAAAAAAAAAAAAAGCAACAAGATAGATAAACCCTTATCCGAACTAACCAAAAGGCAGAGGGCGAGAACATCCAAATTAACAAACTTGGAAATGAAAAGGGGGACATAACAACAGACACTGAGGAAATCCAGAGAATCAGAGAATCATCAGGTCATACTTCAAAAACCTGTACTCCACAAAATTGGAAAATTTAAAGACAATGGACAATTTTCTGGGTAAGTATCACATACCAAAATTAAATCAAGAACAGAAAAACAGTTTAAGTAGACCTATAATCCCTAAAGAAATAGAAACAGTCATCAAAAGTCTCCCAATCAAAAGGGGGGAAAAGCCCAGAGTCAGATGGTTTCAGTGTAGATATTCAAAGAAGAGCTAATACCAATAATCCTCAAATTGTTCCACACAATAGAAACAGAAGGGACATTGCCAGACTCTTTTTATGAGTTACCCTGGTACCCAAACCACACAGGCTCAACTAAGAAAGCAAATTACACACCAATCTCCCTCATGAACACTGATGAAAAATTACTCAATAAAATACTAGCAAATGAAATCCAAGAACACATTAGAAAAATCATCCACCATGATCAAGGAGGTTTCATCCCAGAGATGCAGGAATGGTTCAACATAAGAAAATCTGTCAGTGTAATCCACCACTTAAACAAACTGAAAAAAAAAAAAACACATGATCATCTCATGATAAAAGTCTTGGAAAGAGCAGGGATTCAAGGAACATACCTAATACATACATAATAAAGGAAATGTACAGCAAACCAACAGCCAACATCAAACTTAATGGAGAGAAACTCAAAGCAATTACACTTGAATCAGGAACAAGACAAGGCTGTCCACTATGCCCATATCTCTTCTATATAGTACTTGAAGTTCTAGCTAGAGCAGTAAGACAACAAAAGGAGATCAAGGGGATACAAAGCAAAGGAAGAAGTCAAACTTTCATTATATGCAGATGATGTGATAGTTTACATAAATGACCTGAAAAATTCTACTAGGGAACTCCTACAGCTGACAAACACCTTCAGTAATGTGACAAGATACAAGATTAACTAAAAAAAGATCAGTAACCCTCCTATATATAAATGAATAATGAGCTGAGAAAGAAATCAGAGAAACATCACCCTGCACAATAGCCACAAACAATATAAAATAGCTTGGAGTAACTCTGCTCAAACAAGTGAAAGACCTGTATGACAAGAACTTCACATCTTTAAAGAAAGAAATTAAGAAGATACCAGAAAATGGAAATATCTCCCATGCTCTTGGATAGGTAGGATCAACAACATAGTAATCTTACCAAAAGAAATCTACAGATTCAATGCAATCCTCATCAAAATCCCAGCAAAACTCTTCACAGACCTCAAAAGGACAATGCTCAACTTCATATGGAAAAATAAAAAACCCAGTATAGACAAAACAATCCTTTACAATAAAGGAACCTCCTGAGGCATCACCATCCCTGACTTCAAGCCTTACTATAGAGTAATAGTAATGAAAGCAGCTTGGTATTGGTATAAAAACAGACGGGACCAATGGAATTGAATTAAAGACCCTGATAGTAATTCACACACCTATGAACACCTACTTTTTTTTTCACAAAGAAACTTAAATTATATAATGGAAAAAGAAAGCATCTTCAACAAATTGTGCCCTCATAAACTGAATGTTGACATGTAGAAGAATGCAAACAGATCCATATCTATTGCCATGTGCAAAACCTAAATTCAAATGGATCAAAGACCTCAACATAAATCCAGCCACAGGGAATCTCTTAGAAGAGAAAGTGGGAAGTAGCCTTGAACGCATTGGCACAGGAGAGCAACTCCTGAACATAACTCCAGTATCACAGAGACTAAGGTTGACAATTAATAAATGGGACCTCCTGAAACTTCTGTAAGGCAAAGGACACTGTCAATAAACAAAATGGCAGCCCACAGAATGGGAAGAGATCTTCACCAACCCCTCATCTGACAGAGGGCTGATCTCCAAAATATATAAAGAACCCAAAAAAACTAGATACCAAAATATCAAATGATCCAATTTAAAAAATACAATACAGATCTAAACAGAGAATTCTCAACAGAGGATTCTCAAATGGTTGAAAGGCACTTATGGAATTGCTTAACATCTTAGCCATCAGGGAAATGCAAATCAAAACAACTTTGAGATACTATCTCACACCTGTCAGAATAGCTAAAATCAAAAACACTAATGAAAGCTTATGCTAGAGAGGATGTGGAGAAAGGGGTACACTCATCCATTGCTGGTGGATGTATGCAAACTCATACAGCCTCTTTGGAAATCCGTATGGTGGTTTCTCAGAAAACTGGGAATCAATCTACCTCAAGACCTAGCAATTTCACTCTTGTATAGCTAAAGGATGCACACTCATACCACAAGGCAGGCAAATGGATGGAACTAGAAGAAACCATCCTGAGTGAGGTAACCCAGACCCAGAAAGACAAATACAGTATGTACTCACTCATAAGTGGATAGTAGACATAAAGGAAAGGATAACCAGGCTACATTTCATGAGCTCAGAGAAGCTAGGAAACAAGGAGGACCCTAAGAGAGACATACATGGATCCCCTCCCCCATGAAGGGGCAATGGGCCAGATCTTCTAAGTAAATTGGTAGCGTGTGGAAAGTGGAAGGGTGGTAGGAGAGAGAGAAGTGGGGAGGAAAAGATGAGGGATCAGGAAGGTGGAGTTCAGGGAAGGACAGAGAGTTGAGAGCAAGGAAAGAGATACTTTGAAAGAGAGAGCCTTTATGTGCTTATGGAGAAATCTGGCGCTAGGGAAATTTCCAGTAATCCACAAGGATGACCCCAGCTAAGAATCTAAGCAATAGTGGACCTAAGGTAGCAATAGGCTGCCTTAAATGTCCTTCCCTTATAATGAGAATACTGACTACCTTAAATGCCATCCTAGAGCCTTCATCCAGTAACTGATGGAAGCAGATGCAGAGATTCACAGCTAAACACTGGACTGAACTCTTGGAGTCAAGTTGTAGAGAGAGAAGTCAAGGGGTCAAGACCATGTTGGGGAAACCCACAGAAACAGCTGACCCAAGCAAGTGGGAGCTCACAGACTCCAGACTGACAGCTGGGGATCCTGGACAAGACTGAACTAGGTCCCTGAATGTGGATGACAGTCGGGGGGCTTGGCAGTTTATGGGGCCACTGGTAATAGAACCTGTAATTATCCCTAGTGCATGAACTGGCATTTTGGAGCCCATTCCCTAAGGAGGGATACAGTGGGGAGAGCCTTGGTCATGCCTCAAGTTATGTGACAGACTTTGATGATTCCCCTTGGGAGGCCTCACCCTCTCTGAGGAGTGGCTAGTGGTAGTGTGGGGAGATGGAAGGGGGACTGGGAGCAAGGGAGGGAGAGCGGAGCTTACTGGGGTTGTTACATAAAATAAGATTGTTTTAAAAATAATAAAAATAAATAAAAAACAGAAGAGAAAGATGAAGTTCGTAAGAAATTAATGATTCTAGAAAATATAATATTTAATGAGGTAATCCAGATTCAGAAAGACAAAACCTGCAGATGTGGACCCTAGCCTGTATTAATATGGCAATGCTAGGAAAGAAGAAAGAAGACGGGGAGGGGCCCAGAGGGAATAAGGGCCAGGGAGAAGATGGAAGAGCAGGATCTATCACATGGTGTGATGTTAGTGTTTAGCTGACAGCCTGACACAACTATAGCTGCCTGGGAAGAGTCTCAGTGGGGAGTTTTCTAGATTGGGTTGGCCTATGACCATGTCTACAGGGAATCAATGTGATCATTAAATGGTCATGGAGGGCCCCGCCTATGGTGGGCTGCAGCACTCCGCCGCTGCGCCCCTGAGCATGTAAGAGTGAAGAAAGCTCTTGGAGCATAAGCAGGACAGCAGCGTGGGGTGTCGATTTCTTCCTGCTCTTGATCAGCCATCTCAAGTTCTGCCTTCGTGACTTGATGCAGCAGTGGACTAAAGCCTGGATTAAATCTTTCCTGCCTCAGGTGCGTTTTGTCAGGGTGGTTATCACAGCCACAGAAATTAAGCTAGAACATAGTTTGTTCAGAAAATGCCACAATGATATCCAATACCTTGTACATTAACGTTTGAAGAAATTATCATTATGAAACACCGAGTGTGTGCCATATCTGTACTGAGTCCCCCAGAACCTGACTTCTGACATAACACCTGTTTAATACCATTTAAACAGGAGAAACCCTAATTTTACAAAAAGCTTTAACATATGCTAAATTAAGCTCTCACTCTGTATAGCTTCTTCCTCTGGTCTTCTACATCAGTCATGTTAGAGACCATGATTAGCCCCTAATATCTACTTTAAAACTAAATTCCAGTTTCAGAACCACCTTCCTCCTGAACTAGATGCCACAGATGTGGTGGGTTAACTCTGACCTTGAAGAAGGAAGTCCAGCAAAAATACACCAAGCAGCTACAGCAAAGGAGAGCAGCC